AAGTAGTTTTCTGTTTTGTTTTATTCTTGGATCGGGCTTTAAAGGGTTAAAGATGTGTATTAGCATTATTTAGTGATTTAAGGATAGAAATAACTACTCTAAGTACCATAATTATATTATTTATGGCGACCTGGATCAATATCTTTTTGCCATCGCTGATGGTACTGATAGAGTAGAGAGTGACCCTAAAAAGACAAACCTACCAATAGTAGCCATTCAAGATTTATCCACTTTCCTTCAAGGGTTCCTGGTTGGTTCCCTAAGATTCCTTTTTAAACATAAATCTTTGTAGTAAAATATTCTGTCATGATTTGTGGACATTGAGATCTAAAGAGAAGCGTCCTGGTCAGAGCCTGTAATTCAGTGAAAGGGTGGAGTCAGAATAAAGAAGAAGGCCGACAGCTGGAAGGTGGAGGGGATTTAGCTGGGAGTTGCAGGGGAGGCTGCCATTGGGCTGGTGTTTGACAGGGAAGAGCTGCTACTGTACCAAGGTCCAACAGCTCAGAGTCTACATAAGCAAAGCCAGAGAGAGCTTCTCATACTACACACATGCGTGATAACAAACCAATGAATGAAAGCTGATTGTGACAGGACATGTGGTAACCCTGGTAACGCTCTGAGCTAAAGCTAGCTACGTTTCCAGCCAGAATTAAGCCAGGCTGAAATACCAGCTAGTGTCCATAAAAGCCAATACTAGGCATAGCTGCAACATAAAGGGTCTCCTCTTGGATCATTTCTACCCTTGGTGGTGGGAAACAGAACTACATCACTTTAGTAAAGATGTAGAGAAGTCTTTTTGAATAACCTGGATCTACATAGAAATATCTAATTTGACCAGAGAGGCGCATTAGAGGGAGAAGAAGTGATGCTAGCTGCGTGCTAATTAGGTCATTATGCTCAGAAACCATAAGAACATGGTCTCCATATGCAGCTTTATAATCCAGAGCACAATCATTAGCAGCTTTAAGTCTGTTTGCACATCATTCAGCTCATTTCATCAACTGTTAAAATGACTGAAAGAAACTTTCCTGATTGCAAACATCTAGTTTTTGTTTGACTGAACTTTATGAGAAAATATGTGGATAAAAACAAAAACAAACCATTTGGATT